GGGCGTCACCTAGCCAGCCTGTAAGGGCTGGCGTAATGGTATTTGAGCTTCTGATGAGGTCACGCAGGAGGCGTTCCCATAGTGGACACAAACGAATGCTATGAAAGAGAACTTTAGTTTCTTTTTCTGGAATAAAATTTAAAGGAAACACAATGCAGTATAAAAATATACTAATATACTATTTGGTTTTTTTTAATGGTTGGATTGTTTTAATTTTAAAAGTCAAATATATTATAATTTAAGATGGTCTTTAATGTCCCATACAAACATACATTCTTCTGTAAACTATGTGTTCGGATGCAGTCACTCTATGAAAAGGTGAAAATTAAACATAATAATTAGCTCATATTTTGATATAATTAATATTCAAACCTTACATTTAGGGTTCTCTGTATTATTACATTTTCGTAGATTTAAATTTCAGGTAAATGCAAGCAGTGCTTAAGTCCGTTAATTTATGATGAACATTTATTCTTTACTGTATACTACATTGTATTTGACTTCCTGATGTTTGGCACCTGGCTGAAACCTTTTTGTTTTTGAAGGACTTGGACGACCTGCCACCTCCATCTGCTCTGAGCCTTCAGACAGTGAGAATTAAGGTAGAGAAGAAAGCTGGTGGGGAGGGAGTGACCTGTACAGGGTCAACGGTTGGCGCAGGAGGTGCAACCAAACTTGGAGGAGTGTCCAGCCCCAAATCGAGCCCTGTCGGAGAAAACCGCAGAGACAGCCGCAAAGACAGCCGAGACTCCATGGTACAGCTGTTGATATTGTGTTAATTTTTGAAAATTGGGCATTTAACATTTGTGTAAAGTAATAAAACAGAAGGCCTTCAGAGTGGGATTTCAACTACAGTTTAATGAGAACTTGTTTCAGATCGCCACTGCATCATCAGACCAATAAAATAACGCTTTAAAATGAGACTGCGACAGAAAATAATGAGGTAAAACGCCATTAGAGCAGCCAGGTTTAGGAAGTAAAACTAATGAACTGGTAAAAGTAAGAAAAATAGGGATTTTACTCGTCTGCTGATACGAGGTGTATTTTGTGGTCCCTATAGCCAAAACAGAAAATACCAGTCAGATTAACCCAGATTACAGAAAACACCTTTCAACAACCTAAACTGATCGGTAAGTGATCCAAGTGTCAAAAACAACAGACGCTGATGAACTCTGTCCAGCTTCGACCAATCAGACAGTTATAACGCGCAACTGTAATGACCCAGTAATGTTAATCTTCCCACCCTAAACGAGGACTTATTTTCAATCATGCTTGCGTGACACGGCGTTTAAAAGGATCTTTCTCAGTCAAGCCTTGAAATTTTCCTCTGAGCTTTGATCCTGTGTTGCCAGTTGCAGGACAGCCGTTGTAAACCGAGTTGCATGTTTATTTTCTTGGACTTTGTCTCCACTGTGGGTTCAGCTACCAGCTGTAGTCTTTGAAGTTTTCCCAACGCCCACTTCCCCCCTTTTCCCCATTATCTTTTAATACTTTATTTTTAACACCTTTTATTTGCATTTCTTTTTCATTTGTTTCTTGCCTGTAGATTTCTAGTGTATCTGTTGATATGGACCCTCTCTCCCAGATGCTGCCTGGCTTCAGAGGCCCAGTTGGGGCCAAACAGGGCAGTGAGGATACACCAAACCCCGGAGGAGGCCCTCAACTTCAGTCTCCGGGTCCCCAGCCCCCAGCTACGCTCCAGTCCCCTGTGCCTCAGCTCCAGTCACCCCTGTCTCAGCCTCAGTCCCTCCCACAGTTGCAGTCCCCATCGCCTCAGCTTCACTCCCCTTCCCCCCAGCTCAAACTGCAGTCACCCACTCAGCTCCAACCCGGCGAGGCCAGCACTCCCCGCAATGTAAATGTGAAGAGAGAGCCTCCTGGCACTCCTAACAGAGGTACTGTTTCAGCTCGTGATGAATAAATCCTTGATTTCATTCAAATATCAGATTGTTTGTTATAATAGTTACTAATTTTGTTCTTTAAGCGTTATTGGATAGTATTTAAATTGATTGGATTCAAAATAATTGTTATTGTTATTATTGTATTGATGGTAGTAGTAATGGTATGATCCAGAGTTCATTCACCGGTATTTTTATATTCTTAATGCCCTCTAGTGGCTTCCAGGAGCCATGTAACCAAATTCTTACTCTGCTTCTTGTCACACTGCAGAGAAAACGTCTAAAGGTTTCCTCAGCTGTTTTCACACGTGAATCTTTCTAAATATCACCTGACAGGAGAAAAAGGATCAGACAGTAGCCGGTCTTTAATCTTCCAAATCCCAAATATGAATTCCATATGCTGTTGAATTGTGTCAAAGCGGGAATAGCACAGCAAATAGTTCAGTTGATTTACCAATAGCAAGTGGGTTGTCACACATTCAGTGTGCTGCATGCTCTATCCTGGCAGTGTGCTTACCTAATTCAGACAGAAACTCAATTTGAATAGTCAAGAGTCTAATTGCTTTTGACATGGATAGAAAATGTCATGAGGAACAGAAAGCTGTAAGCAGAATTTATAAAACATTAGAAAAGAGAACCACAATGGCTAAAGAGTCAAACAGTACTTACTCTTGTATCTCACAAGAGTATCTCACACTTCTTTACCAAGCCTGGATTTTTATTTTACATTTTTAATTGTATAATGCTTGTCACATTAAGATTGGTTACCTTCTCTTCCTACTGGATATATTCATTTTCCAGTAGCAAGAGCATGTCTGAAGTGGATTACGTCCTTCTTTGTCCTGCATGTCAAAGGACAAATCTCCCAAAATTGCTTGAAAATAACTGGATGCATTTTGTCATAGCTAGGCTTTCAGTACAACTCCGGGTCTGCATGGTTGGATGCATTAGTGATGGGCAGGAGGAGGAGTATAGAGCACTAGTGGATGAGTTTGTGGATTGGTCTGCTTCTGAATGTGAATAAGATCAGAGAGATGGGGATGAACTTCAGAAGGAAAGAGGTGGCTGCACACTCAGGATGTTCATGTGGTGCAGGTGTATACAACGATAGTCCAGACTGAACTGGAAGACCAACATAGAGGCTATATTCAAATTTGGGGATGAGCAGGCTCTGTTTCCTAGGGAAGCTGAGATCCGCACTGAGTGCAGCAAAATGTTGGAGATTTTCTTTCACTCACATATAGCGAACACACTGTAATTGGGCTGTGGTCTGATCTGGTGACACTGACTGAATAAAATGATCAGTGATTGGCTGAAAGTTGGATACTTTCAAGGCTGTGGTGGAGAGGTGGTCACTGAGCAAACTGTTATCCATCGTTATTAGTCCTGACAACCCTCTGCACGGCTAACTGGACAGGCAGCGCAGCACGTTTGAGCTCATCTCCCACAGCGACAGATGTTGGAAATATTTCATAGCACATGATATCACCTCCTAGAATAAAATATATCTGCCAGATATTATTTGTATTTTATATTATGGGATACATAAAGTATTTCTTTCCTCATGAAATACTTCAAGTGATTTTCGCAGTGTCCTTGTGTTTGTGTCACAGGGCTCAGTGATGGCAGACCGCCCTCTGGCTGCAGCCTTCAGAGTCAGTCTTCATTTGAGTTCTGCAATCCCGCCACTCCAAGCCAACAACCGGGACAAGGAGACCCCTTCCAGACCCCCATAGACAGCAGTCCATTTCCAGAGGCCGAAGTTATGAACCCTTTCACCTCAACCACTGGTAAATAAGTGTACTGCAGCCACAGTTTGGTTACCCTGTGTAGTCAGAACTAAATTCTGCTATTAAAAAGAAATTTAGTGAAACAACAAACTTTGTAATGACAGCATAAATTATAATTGGATTATGCCACTCTGCAGGCTTCCCATCTCAGTTGAAATTGCTGAGCATCAACTGTCTTTCTTGCTTTCTGTGTTAGCAAACAGTGTAGCTTGTAGCAGCTGTGTAAGTGATTGAAAGTCAGTCTTTTTGGTTTAGCATGTGGATGAACTGCACAGTCCACAGCTACAACCAGACGGTAACATATAAATCAGGCCCTAGATAGATAGATAGATAGATAGATAGATAGATAGATAGATAGATAGATAGATAGATATAAATTTATATATGATCAATTTTTTCACTCTACTTGAGAAGGGAGCAATATAATGCTACGTCATGGCTGCGTGGTAAAGATTTTACCAAGATTAAATGAAGTATGTAACTTCCATATATATCTTGTTGCCTGTTGATGGTGGAAGTAGAAAGTGTGTTTGTTTGTTTGTTTGTTTGAACAAAGGGAAGTAGAAGGCATCTAATATATGAAAAAAGTTGCACAGAGCACTTTAAACCTAAAGATGCATGCTGTTGTTCATAAACATTTTTCTTCCACAAGCCTTAGTGTATGAATTTCCCTTTCAGGTCAAACCAAGATGGATGCGGGTGATTCCCAGTTTCAGCCTCTGGCTCTGGCTGACACCCTGACGTTTGATGGTCTGGGAACTCCTTTGCAGGCTCCTTTGGCATCACCACAAGAGTAAGTCTGATTTTATAAGTCTAAGTTGCTTCTTCACAGCCCAGAGGGGAGCGTGGGAAAGACGGTGTTTTGTCTTTTTGAGCAGGCAGTGTGTGCCCTGTACGCTGGATGAAGTGCTTGGCCCTCCAACCACACCTGAAGCCCGGAACGATGAGAAGGCTCTATTAGAGCAGCTGGTTAACTTCCTCAGTGGGACAGATGAAAGCGAGCTGGCTGAGCTTGACAAAGCCCTGGGTATCGACAAACTGATACAGGTGAGTAGATCATAAAGCTTGTAAGACAGTGGAAAGGCTTACTGAACTCTGAGTGCTTTTACAAACACATTAACAAAGCACTTTAGCTTTTGCTGTTGGACACTTTGACCAGCAGACTGGACTTTAAGCCCTGCAAAGGCTTTACAAGATTAATTTTAAGACCAGTGCATGATCATTAATTTTACGATGTTGCTATAATTAATCAAAACATTCAAAATAGTTGCTCAGCTGAAGCGCTGGCAGCCTCTGCTGGCCTCTGGTCTGTTTTTTTGTGCCATCCACAAGGATTTGGCACAAGAAATATAAATAAAACTCCTGGACGGCATTCAAGTAAAACACAAGGTGATTCAATTAGTTTATAATGTTTACCTTTACTTCTGTTCAACTCTTCTAACCGCAGTTGTTTAGTTTATTTTGGCTTGTTTAAAAGCAAATAATCTGCCAAATAATCACAGGCGATCTCTGGCTTTTATGCTTCTTTCAGTTCTTTGTAACACTCAGGTAACACATCAGATATGATTTAAATGGAATTAAAATATTTCAGTGTTTCAAAAACATCAACATCGCTGTGGCAGCGACATTATTTCAATGGCTGAAAATGATTATGGTTCGATGTCAGACTTGCTTTTCCAAACCAGAAAACAGGTGATGATGTGTTTTTTGGGCGGAGCCAAATCGCTGATAGAAAGTAATTGCTCTGTAAGTGCAAGTGACTATAGGTGTACGCTGTGGAAATGACATGTGTAGATTGATTTTTGTGTAATGGACTGACGTGCAAGCTGTACCTGGAGCGAGGCGATAACAGCAGCAGTACTGTTGAACAGTGAAGTAAACAATGAGGAACAAAGTGTGGCTTTGGAGTCCTCTGTCATCATGTAACTGTGATCGTATCATGTGGTCCAAGGGTTGAGCTAAGTTTGTCTTTAGTCATAGCCATTCATTTACTTAATGCTAGCATTAATGCGGACTGGTGTTCCAGATAAACTGTCTACAAGAACTTTGGTTTGTTTACATCATACTTCTGCGTCTGTTTGGTGACTGCTGTGATGCCAAAGTCTTTTGAAAGTGTAGCTTTGCAGTTGCTTCTGTCTCTGCTTCACCTTTAATAACTACATTGCTGACTTAATGTGCCTTAAAGATTTCATTTGGTCCACTTTGGCTTTGGTTTTATTAACGTTTTTGCATTTTAGTTAGTGTATAAAATCGAATACTTTTATGAGTATCTACGTGTAAATAATAGTGCTGTTTCATTGTTTTTTGCCTGGGAGTAGAGATTCTTATAGTGCTTTGTTTATATATCACTACACTGTGGAAACCCAGTTGGCCCGGACATTTGAGACGTTCTTTCTGTGAGACAGCAGAGCTAACCGCAGCACCACCATGGTGTGAAACTGTTGCAAAGGCCTTTATGATATAAACAATAAGTCTGGGTTGTGATAAAGGGAACAGATGGTTAGATTTCAGACTTCAGGTCTCAAGTAACTCCAGGTCCAATAATTATCTTGTATGTTATTGCTCTCACTTTCCAGAATGTTTATTTTCTCTTCTAAATGACCAAATAGATATACTAACATATTACTTAAAAAGCAACTTGACTAGAAAGTACTGGAAAAATCCTACCCCATCTTACTGAAGGACACTTTGTGGTGGTTACGAGACAACATCGTCATAATGATTTCCTTTTCCTGTTTTATTTCCCTCTTCGTAGGGTGGCTGCTTTGACCCTTTACCTCAAAATTTTCCACCCCAGCAACCCACTGCCACCCCAGTTTCCATAGACCCTAAACTCCCCACCTACCCTTCCCAATTCACACCAGCTCCACAAGCTCCTTTTCCTCCAGAGCTGGGCACGGTGGGGGCGCAGGGTCTGGGGTTCGGAGCCCCTCGAGGGGCCTTCCCCGGTGGGACGGGCATGGGACTGAGGCCAGGCATGACCAGACCACAGGGGATGGGCAATCCGGTCAGGCTGCCACCGAACCAACTGCGCTTGCAGCTGCAGCAGAGACTACAAGGCCCACAGCAGGTAAGGACACAGAGTCAGTTTGTCCGGTGTGTATTCAGCTCATTAACCTGTAAATGATGTCGCCTCTTTTTCTTCTGCCTCTAACAGTTTAAGCAACTACTGTGAACTTTGTTTAGGTGTAATTTATTCACAGAATTTTATTGACCTGTTATGCTAATTCCCAGCTCCATAATTTTATTAAAATTAGCTTTACATGGTTAACAGTTCCAAATAGTTATCTTATAATGGGGCCTCTGTGCAGGCCCTGGATCAGGGCTGGGAGAACTCCAGGCCTCAATGGCCGGGGTCCTGCAGGGATTAGATGTGTCCTTGATCCAACACTGCTTATTTAAATGACTAAGTTACCTCCTCAACATGTCTTGAAGTTCTCCAGAGGCCTGGTAATGAACTAATCATTTGATACAGGTGTGTTGACCCAGGAGGATATCTAAAACCTGCAGGACACCGGCCCTTCAGGCCTGGAGTTTCCCACCCCTGCCCTACAGGGAGTGCAGAATTATTAGGCAAGTTGTATTTTTGAGGAATAATTTTATTATTGAACAACAACCATGTTCTCAATGAACCCAAAAAACTCATTAATATCAAAGCTGAATGTTTTTGGAAGTAGTTTTTAGTTTGTTTTTAGTTTTAGCTATTTTAGGGGGATATCTGTGTGTGCAGGTGACTATTACTGTGCATAATTATTAGGCAACTTAACAAAAAACAAATATATACCCATTTCAATTATTTATTTTCACCAGTGAAACCAATATAACATCTTCACATTCACAAATATACATTTCTGACATTCAAAAACAAAACCAAAACAAATCAGCGACCAATATAGCCACCTTTCTTTGCAAGGACACTCAAAAGCCTGCCATCCATGGATTCTGTCAGTGTTTTGATCTGTTCACCATCAACATTGCGTGCAGCAGCAACCACAGCCTCCCAGACACTGTTCAGAGAGGTGTACTGTTTTCCCTCCTTGTAAATCTCACATTTGATGATGGACCACAGGTTCTCAATGGGGTTCAGATCAGGTGAACAAGGTGGCCATGTCATTAGTTTCTCTTCTTTTATACCCTTTCTTGCCAGCCATGCTGTGGAGTACTTGGACGCGTGTGATGGAGCATTGTCCTGCATGAAAATCATGTTTTTCTTGAAGGATGCAGACTTCTTCCTGTACCACTGCTTGAAGAAGGTGTCTTCCAGAAACTGGCAGTAGGACTGGGAGTTGAGCTTGACTCCATCCTCAACCCGAAAAGGCCCCGCAAGCTCATCTTTGATGATACCAGCCCAAACCAGTACTCCACCTCCACCTTGCTGGCGTCTGAGTCGGACTGGAGCTCTCTGCCCTTTACCAATCCAGCCACGGGCCCATCCATCTGGCCCATCAAGACTCACTCTCATTTCATCAGTCCATAAAACCTTAGAAAAACCAGTCTTGAGATATTTCTTGGCCCAGTCTTGACGTTTCAGCTTGTGTGTCTTGTTCAGTGGTGGTCGTCTTTCAGCCTTTCTTACCTTGGCCATGTCTCCGAGTATTGCACACCTTGTGCTTTTGGGCACTCCAGTGATGTTGCAGCTCTGAAATATGGCCAAACTGGTGGCAAGTGGCATCTTGGCAGCTGCACGCTTGACTTTTCTCAGTTCATGGGCAGTTATTTTGCGCCTTGGTTTTTCCACACGCTTCTTGCGACCCTGTTGACTATTTTGAATGAAACGCTTGATTGTTCGATGATCACGCTTCAGAAGCTTTGCAATTTTGAGACTGCTGCATCCCTCTGCAAGATATCTCACTATTTTTGACTTTTCTGAGCCTGTCAAGTCCTTCTTTTGACCCATTTTGCCAAAGGAAAGGACGTTGCCTAATAATTATGCACACCTGATATAGGGTGTTGATGTCATTAGACCACACCCCTTCTCATTACAGAGATGCACATCACCTAATATGCTTAATTGGTAGTAGGCTTTCGAACCTATACAGCTTGGAGTAAGACAACATGCATGAAGAGGATGATGTGGACAAAATACTCATTTGCCTAATAATTCTGCACTACCTGTAGATCATTCCACTGTCTGAAATAAGTCTTTTTAGCTCCTGTCTCTTTAAGGTCACCTTCCATTTAAAGCTTCAAACTCACATGAAATATTATTGAAACTGTGACCATGTTATGAGAAACCACGACAAGGCATAACAGGCAGCTGAGATAAAACGATGTCCCTTTACCTTTTTTTTCTCCTCTCTCATCTCTAGTGCTCGACTCCTCTTTCTCCCCGCTGCTCTTCTCTTCTGTCTCCACACTTTCCAATAGTGTTATTTTCTTTGTCTCTGATTTAATTTCTTCTTCTCTGTTATTGCTCTTATCGTGTCTCTGGTCTAGTCCAACCTGTCTGACCTCTGCTCATTGTGATTTTCTCTTTGCTGCAGCTGCAGAACAGGCTGGCAGGGATGAATCAGTTTCCAGGAGGAGCCCAGCATGTGAACATGGGGATTCGTCAGGGGGTGCAACAACCTCAAATGCCCTCGCAAGTGAGTCACGGTGGTAGAGAGCGTTTGTCTACTCACCACCCTGCTTTTGTTAGCAGGCTGAACTTTGTGGATTTAACTATAGATTTTTTTTCAGATAAAAAAAGTGATAATAATCAATATTGGTGCTGAAATTCAAGCCATAGAAATGAATAACTGTGTGTCTGTTTATATACTGCACATGCTAGTTAAGCATAATGTGCATTTCTGTCCATTAATTTAACAAGTTCACAGTATTCTTTGTTGCTTTGTTTAAGCTCTTGTTAAAAATGGCAATCATATATGTTTTATACCGGCTCTAAATCTCACAGTGTAAACCCAACACCTTTTTGTTCATGAGTTTTTTTTCTGTAACCTACTTTCATCATCAGTATCATGAGATATATCATAGTTTGCTGTAAAATTCCATCAGTCTAATGTCTGTGATATAAAGTGATCGAAACGGGCCTGGGTACCCTGGATGTTCGACCGTTTTTGAAAACTTGACTGGAGAAAACTTGAAAGCAAATGAAAAGTATCTTTCGCACCAACATTTTGGATTTAGATACTCGCAATCGGTGCAAATGAATTTGGTTGCAGTTTTTTAATAGAGCTTAAATTTTCCACACCGGAGATTTCATGTTCCTGCACTTAACGAGGATACGAGGACCCAAGAAAGGGCAAACTAAAAACACCGAATTTCCACGCACCTCTGTAACTCTGAAAATATTTACAGTGTGAAGGTTAAATTATGCATTACTTTATTTAATAAACAAAAGTTATCATACAAAATAATTAGCTGATTTTTGGGGGGTCAGGTGAGACCCCAAAAGAATGTAAGGCTACGTTCACACTGCAGGCGAAAGCGCATCAAATCCGATTTTTTTGACCCTATGCGACCCATATCCGATCATGGTGTGACAGTGTGAACGGCACAAATCCGATATTTTCAAATCCGATCTGGGTCACTTTCGTATGTGGTACTGAATCCGATACATATCCGATGTTTCAGAAAGCGACTGCTGTTTGAATGGTCATGTCGCATTAAATCCGTCTTTTACGTCACTGACACAAGACAGACGCCAATTATCAGCGCCAGAGAAGACATCGCGAACGCTTCCTGGCCATCCAGTGAGACTGCTGGGAAGACAACGTTGGAGAAACGTGAACATTTTATTTGTACTGTATAATCTGCAGATTCTGACAGAAATCTGCAACTATCCTTTGAAGCACCGCTCCTCTAAAACAGCAATAAGGATCATTATTAGGTTATTTACATTATTATGTAAATAACAAAATAACTTAAAGCAAAAATTGAGAAACATGAAGTCCGAAGTCTTTATATTAAGGGCCATCAGTCAAACAATACTGTTTGCTCTGGGTCTAAACAGAGCGCGTTGTGTGTGACGTCTTCTTTTGCGCATGCGGGCCGCTTTGAGCGTTCACACTAGAGAGCGTTTGCTGTCGCATTTTATTTGTAGTGTGAACGAGCAGACAAAAAAATCGGATTTGATCAAAAAATCGGAATTGAGCATTAAGACCTGCAGTGTGAACGTAGCCTAAGTGTCCTAATGCAGGCTTTAATTTCGGTCTCGTATTGGCTTTTTGTGCCAGTGCCAGCCACATAAGATCTTTGAACCCTACCAGGAGCTGATTGAAATTAAGAAAATTAGGACTGCCAGTCTTCTTCAAATCATATTAATAACTTGCTTTTTTTCTGTGCTATGGTTATTATGCTGGTCTTTAAATTGGGTGAATTTTCTTTCTTAAGCCTGTACAAAGTAGCTCAGGATAATAAGATTAACTATCATATTTAGGTTGAACATGGGCAATAAGTTCTCTGTAACAGGCTCTTTTACTCCCTCTCAGCAGCCTCCGCTGAATGCCCAGATGCTGGCTCAGCGTCAGCGGGAACTCTACAGCATCCAGCATCGCCAACGCCAGCTATTCCAGCAGAAGGTCATGCTGATGAGACAGAACATAGCAGGCACTCCCACTGGAGCCGTGGGGCCCATTGGGACTGCTAGGGTCCCCAAAGCTCCCCCCACAACGACTCAACAACAGCAGCAACAGCAGTTCAACTTCCCACCAGGGTACAACCCGATGGCGGGAAACCCTCCTACCTCACCAAGTCACTTCAGCCCCATTACCGCGGGCCCTCTGGACAACAAGCTGCCCGGCAGAGTTCCCCTGAACAACCAGACGTTGATGGGTGGCGTGCAGGGCCAGTTCAACAGCACCGTCAACTCCTCATTGCAGCAAGGCCTGTTTCAGCAGTTTGGAGGGTCCGGTGAGTTCACGGGAGCAAAATAACCAAAATACTAAACCACGACAGGCTCACTTTAAAATATCAAAACTTTTTGTAATTAATACAGGTGGAGACAGGTGAAGAGATGTTGGTGTGAACCTGGTTTTTGTTTGTTCTGCTTTGTTTTGTTTTTTTTGGGGAGGGGGGATGACTTCTGTTTAGGTCAAAGCACCTGGGGTAGCTTTAGGAAATAGGATGTGGTCTGCATTAAATGCAATTAGAAGTAGGACCATGAAGGGAATTGTTAAACAAATATTTTTATCACACAAACTGACATGAAAAATAAATGATTGTTTTACTACTGATTGGTAAAATTAACTTATAATGCCGTTGTTCAACAGTGAGGTTAAATTGGCTATTAGTTTACCATTGGTTAACACCAATTATAATGAAGCTTTACACTCAACAGTTTTGACAGACTTAGAGGTGCAAGTCCCTAAAGCCAGCTGGGAATCAGACTTCCAAGGCTTCCAACTTCGACTTCAGTCTGAAAGCCACCGGATCCTTGAAGCTCCTTCTGGAGTTCTGCAGGAGCGCTGCCCCATGTGGCTTTTTCAGGCTAACACTGGCTGGGCCCTTACTGGTAAAACAAACAAACAAACAAAAAAAGCAAGACTTCAAGGTTACCTTTGGTGACCCCCTCCCTCTGTGTGCGTAGCCTCGGACAGGTCACAGGGTTCTTCTTGTCTTTTCCAACATACACTCCACCCTCACTCCTTACCCTGGACCAGTTTGCCTGTTAAGACCTGACCAAGCGCAAGGGTCTAGGATTAAACCCTTTCACCATATTAAGGCGGTGATTCATCCCCATTTGAAGTTTCCTTGAAGAGGACATATTTAAACCTTGTTCACAAATTGGAGGAAAAATTGGTGTGGATACTAAACTGAGCTGTTGTGATGAATAAAGAGGTGGAGCTGAAGGTGCTGGTAACAACAATTGTAGATTCAGCCAGCAGGAATGAGCTTCCTCCAAAAGTGTCTGGGCTTGTTCTTAGGAGTAGGTTGATGACCTCAGTAATCTGAGAGTAGAAATGCTGCTCTTCCATATTGAGTGACTGGATAGAGGCTCTTTGTTGTGCATTTAGCTCTAAGCACATGATTGTGTCTGCATTTCTGTTCGGAAGGTGTTGCCACCCTCTTTGTTGGTTGGTGAATTTGATTTTGTGCCTAAGAACATTAAAACCTTTTAAAAATTGATTCACCGACATAAATTTACTATGATTTCACATCTTTGAAACATCCATGTTTTCTTTGTTACAGCTGTGGTCCAGCAAGACCCACCGTTTGCTCCTGAGATGAGCCCCTCCAGCCCACTTTTATCACCTCAGAACTCCACCTCCCAGAGTCCTCTACTTCAGCAAAACTCATCTACTGGCTACCAGTCACCCGACATGAAAGGCTGGCAACCAACAAGCGTGGGCAGGTTAGGAGCATGCATACAGTTTATAAGGAACAAAGACATTTGCAAACATTAATAAATGAAATCTGTGAGGCCGGTTTTAACTCCTCTCTGACTGTTTTCTGTGCTTGCAGCCTGTTCAGTCAGTCAGGACAGAGCGCAGGGCAGCCGTTTGGCCAGCAGGGGGTTTATAACAACATGAGCATCACCGTTTCCATGGCCGGGGGCTCGAGTGGCGTCAGCTCATTACCTCCCATTGGGCAGTCAGTTGGCATGAGCAACAGTAACCTCAGCAACGTTGGTTCAGTGTGCAGCGACCAGCAGGTCAGTGACTTTGAACCTGCCAGCTTGGACAGCTGTGATAGTTTCATGTCCCAATGACCACCTTTCACTGCTTCATTTCCTGTTTTACTTTGCATCGGGATATACACCCCAGTTGCATTTGCTTTGTCTTAGTTTCAGTTTGTGGCTTTACTTTAGAGTATGCTCATAGGATGCAGAGTTCTCCTTCCAGTCTCCATTTACGCCCCAAGTTAAATTGCTTTTTTTTTTTTTTTTGGATTGCATCGTGTGCTCCTGAAAATGTTTAGTGAGGTTAAAAAGGTTCAGCAAATGCACCGTTTCTTTCTTGTTCTTATTAGGTTAATTGTGCAGGCTCCAACCTTTACAGAGGCTTCCATGTTGCTAAGTTACAAACCACCTCTTTATTTTTTTTAATAATTAAAAAAAAAAAAACACCTTGTAGCTTCAACAAATGGCATAATAAACAATGCAAAGTAGTGAATAAGCAACAAAACAGCCCTTGCATCAAACATTGCTGTTCAAATCTGTCAAAATGATTGACAGCTTTTAGACTTTTCCCGACGCTGTCAGTGATGGTTCTCGCGACCTCCTTCCCTCTGTAAGCATTGCCTCGCGCTTTATTCCCGTGTTTCTGCAGGTGCAGCAGGTCCAGGTATTTGCGGACGTCCAGTGCACAGTGAACCTTGTTGGCAGTGATTCCTACCTGAACCAGGGCTCCATCGGAGCTGCGGCCTCCCAGAAGGGCCCCGGACCCCAGGGCTCCCAGAACAACCAAGCCCAGCAGAAGAGCCTCCTCCAGCAGCTGCTCACTGAGTGACACCCCCCACCTCTTCTGCTCTCCTGCTCTATCTACTTCTCACTTCTACACCTCCTCCTTGGAGGGTCGGTGCACCAGACCCATTGCTGTCTCTGTCTCACCTTTTGGATGGATCGATGTACGGACGGATGGATGTTTGGACGGCCACAGAGTAGGCTCAGAGAGGTCTGGCTGTCGGTGGAGTTTTCGCAGCCTAACCACTTCTGTGCTGGGGAGGGGTGGGGGTGGGGATTCAGGGCTGGTTGTTTGATGCCCAGAACATTTTAAGTCAAGACTGAAGTCAGAAGGAGCAGCAGTGTATTTAAACCTGCCTGTCTAATCTGTCTGACAACCTGTCTGTCTGCCTCAGCCTATTAAAGGCAGTGTTGTCTTGCTGCTCATTCCTTGGTGACCTACTTCCTGCTTCCTGACCCAAGAAAACAACTGCAACGTCATTGTAGTTTTGCCAAGTTTTTGTCACTGTCAAATCAGGGCCGGCCTCCTTTTTATTTGTGTTTTATATGTTTTTGTTAGTTTTGTTTGTTTTTGTTTTTTTCTGATCGGACGGTTTCTGTCAGGCCGTCGAAACAGCAAGCAGCAGCAGCAGCGCATCTCGGGAGCATGAGTTGCAGCATACAGCTGGGCTCAGTGTTTTTAAAGTGTTGGGATTATCCCACACAGCAGCACCTCTGGCTTTTATTTTTGTTTGTTTGTTTGTTGTTGTTTTTGTTTTGTTTTTTCTCTGCCTGTCTCTCAGCGATGTGGGAATGTTAAGGTTTCAGACCTCTGTGGCATTGTGGGATAGAAGCTCAGTATCAGCTGGTTCTGTGACTGTCTCTCTCTATCAGCTACGGTGCCTGGTGGAAGTTTGAGTTTTTCCCAAGCTCTGCTTCTTCTTCTTCTACTTCTACTTCTTCAACATATTATTCTATTACATCATTATTTTTTTGTTTGTGTTTTGGGTTGGATTGGGGGTTTTTTGTTTGTTTTTTTTTTGTTTGTTTGTTTTAAAACTTCTGCTCTCGCCGTCATCATCATCTTCACGATCATCAGAACAAGCTTTGACAACAGCCAGGATGGATGGATGGATGGATGGATGGATGGGAGACAGACAGGATGCTGCTCAGTTTGGAACTTTACGTGTCTTCCTCCCCTGGGAGGAGGTTTTATTTTTATTTTTCTCAAAGTATAAGAAAAAAGGACTGTTATGATTATTTAACTGTCTGTCCGTCACATTTTACCCCTCACCTCAGCAGCTGTGAATACAGAGCCCCGTTGGGTTCTCTCTCTTTCTCTCTCTGTGTATCTTCATGCGATCTCTCAGCCTATCAGTGTTGTTTGCCATGTGCACCATGCAGGCAGGTAGTATTGTACAGTACAGAAGGACAAAGACTTGGGGATGAGCTCACTCTTGTAACTGCTTTCCTTTAAGAAAAAAAATGAGAAAAAACAAAGAAAAAAACAAATGTAATTAATTGATTACTCAGAAAAGCAAAACATATATATTATAATGTGATTCGATCCAGGTTTTCTTTCTTTTCTTCTTTTTTAGATTGTTTTTTCGGCATCATGATATTGTAACACAGCTACATGTTGTGGTGGAGGAGGAAGACGTTATTCCAGCTTCTAAAATGTGAAACTTTTAAGCGATTTGGTTTTTGAAGAATTTTTTTTTTTTTTTATTAAAAAGGTAGATCTCGCTCCCTTTGGCGTCCCAGTCAGCACTACATGCAGCCACACTTAAAAAAATGGGTTTGATTGCTCTGCTTTCTCTCTTGTTGTAACCAGGGAGCTAGTTAGCCATCTTTCTTGCTTTCTCCTCTTTTTTTATTCTTATGTATGTACAATACTTTCAGAAAAACTTTTCAGACAGTACATGTGTTGTAACCATTGTATAAAAAACAAAGCATAATGATAAACTGAAACCGGGCTCTTTGCTGTGAGCCGCAGCAAACGGCACGCTTTTGGATATTGTTCCTATATAATGACATTTAAGTAGAGGCTTTAGTGATAGAAGTTCCTAACAACGATGTGATGGATAATTGATTTAAAGCTGTCATGAATTTGAATCCAAACAGGAAGAGTTGCAAAAACATCCTTTCATTTTCTCCTCACCTCCTGGGAATCTTTATTATTATTATTATATATTTTTTTACGAGGGATTTAACCCTCTTCTCCTTCCACCTCTGGTTTCCCCGATGAAGACTTCACTCCACTGGCTACACACTCATATACAGTTTTCTGTTGACTACTGTTGCTCAGTCAGACACTGTGTCTCTCAGCGATAACAGACCTCTCGTGACAACAAAATTCAAATCCTAAGATGTGCTACTTACACCTTACCGGAAATTTAAGAAGGAGAAAACCCTGCTGAGACGTTGCCTCTTAATATTCTTTACATGACTAAAATATTGTAGAGCTATAAACATGTAATATGTGGCTTAGGCACTTCTTAATGCATATGATTTTTCTAAATTTGCTCCAGTCCGACACCCTTTATCCAAAGGTTTAAATTAGAGGATGCTAAACAACATTTGGAATGAGTGTAACCAAACTTAGTGGACTTTTTCTTTTCTTTTTCTTTTCTTTTCTTTCAAAAGCAGGGCTCGTTCTGTCGGGGAGCATCATTCGAGTTTCCTCCTGTCAAATCTGCCACGTCTCAACGCCAGCACAAATATCGGGTGCTCCCTGATCGAACCGGTCTCAGTTTATTATTTCTCTTCCTTTCTCTCGTGGAAACTTGATCCGTGGAGAAGGTTTCAAATAAAGCTCACTCCTCCCCCCACCCACCCACCCACTCAGCTAATAAGTCTTCAATCTGCCAAACTTGTCGCTCTTGTAGGTGATGCAGTCGCGTGGAATAGGGCTTCTTTCCTGTGTCTTTACACAGAGATACTTCGCCGTATGCAATGTTTTACCCAGAAAAAGAGGGATAGTATGCAAGGTCTACATTCCACCCACCAACTTCTGAAGTGTTTAATAATGTGAGAACCACTTTGTGCTCATCTGCAACGCTCTGTGTGACAATCTTGACGTGTTATTTGTGTGCAGAATCATGCAGTGTGCGTCCAAACAGTGGCTACGGAAGTAAATGCAAAAACACCTCCAGTATAGAGAGGTTTTCTTTCTATTTTTATATGGATTTATTTTAAAATCATGCTAACAAGTCTTCTTTCATATATCAAGAAGAAGCAAACATAGCACTTGGTTATCATCGACTTTACTAATCGTTAAATCTGATGGATTTGTCCCAGAATAAGAAATAAAAGTAACTTGTATGTAAAATTAAAGCAGTGCACCAAATACAACAGTGGGGGCAAAAAGTGGCAAAAACTCACCAGCAAATTTTTGTTGCTTTTGTTTTGTAAATAATGTAATTGATCAAAAAAGTTCGAATTTTCAAACTCCTTATGTGTCGCTTATCTAATTTTTGAGAATTTTTCCCATTTCGGTCCTTTGAACTGCATCGCAGTCCACAAGCAGTTAAAAACGTACTACCTCCAAACTCTTTGTCAAAGCAGGAGAAGGCAAGAAAGTTTCCCAGATTCTGGAGGAATGGAGTTAATTGATGACTTTTTATAAATGCCTGAATTCATGATCATCCTTGTGGGTTACTGTAGTAAGGAGCTCCAGCTCAATTATTTGAATGTTTGACCTCCAAACTGAATCATTTCTCTGCCACCGTTATCAATCAGAAATTCAGGGGGAAACTGAAGGCAAGAACATATCTCAGCCCCACCTCAAGCCTCAGACCATTTTAAAACCCTTTTAGACCCCCTCAAGGAATATTTTCTAGAGAATTGTTTGAATGCAGTCGCCTGACAGTCCTGCGCCACTGTTTGGACGGCAGAAGTTGCACAAAGTGGGAGGACGCACCTCTCTGAAAGGTTTCTGTCAGTGTCAGCCTTCCTCCTTTCACTTTCCTGCATGAAATAGGCATTCCTATGGAAGTGGTTTCCTCTCCAACCCTGTTCATTGCAGAAACTCAGCAGCAGCTGTCAGCTTAACCTGCAAATAAAGAAAAATAGAAGGAAAAATATATGCCAAATACATCCAGGGTAAGGTTTTATATGCAACAGCCATTCAGTGGAAACGACAGTCCCTCCTTTGCTTCCTTTACCTAGTCTCCCTCCGTCATCACTACAAGTAACAGGTACCAGGTTAGGTTCTTTTGTAACGTTGGTTTCAAGATGTCAACATGATGTATATAACAGAGAAATGTGAATATGTATTTGTTCAGAATCAAAAAAAGTAGTGCTCCGAGTTTGTGGTAAATAACTGCTCGCCTCCGTCACATTTTTATTTGATTTGATTTTCTACCTTTTTTTTTTTTTTTTTAAATTTCTGATGATGTATGTATGTATATGACTATCAGTGAGTGTGTATGTATGTGTGATTAATACTGTATATCTGGTGTTCTCTAAGATGGAAGATGTCCTATATGATTCTCTCCTTCTTCTTCTTCTTCTTCTTCGACTCTTTTCAACCCTGCACAGTACCTGTGGGTGTTTCAGATGACTATGCCAGAGAATGGTTTTAGCGACTGCTGAATGTGATTTTACTGAGAGAGAAGCAGTGTGGACTGGCTTTTTGTACGGGTTAATTTAAAAAAAGAAAAAAGGCCATATTATTTAATTTTCTCTGTTGTCAGAAGTTTAAGCAGATCTGGGAGAGTGGAGCCTTGGTTTTATGGAGAAGCATTGCCCAGTTGAGCTGGATGTTTTATTTCTTTCTGTCTGACTGATGTAGCCTCTCTTCTTCTTCTTCTTCTTCTTGCATTCATCGGTAGTAAATGACCAAAGCTTCAACACGTTTCATGGACTCATATGCAAACCTCATCATCACTGGACACAACATAATGTAGCGGCCCCCTTTATTTGGATTTCTCTGCTGCTGCTCTGCGTGTTCGTCCCTCCTGTGGCCTATCAGCAGCGAGCTGTGTGATGTCCCAAAGTTAGGTCAGTTTTTCGAGACGTCTCCACTTTTTGCCATTGAGGTCTTTTGAGCCTGAAGTGCTATCACTCGTTTACAGGAAGAGAAAAAAAAACATTGCAACCCTTAGCTATGCACCTTACTGAAACAAGCATTTCCTCACCTTGTAGAGTTAACACTGGAGCATTTCATTTCATAGATATTTACAGTCACAACAAAATAATTTTTAAAAAGCCCACTCGATATCTGATGACCTTCACTTCTTCTTTTTGGTTTTTGGTTTTCCATCAACTGAATACTTTATACCAAACTTGAGGTGCCTCGTGTATATACTTTCTGCAGTAAAGATTGCTCCTTTGCTGTTTAACAGTAATAACCTTGTTAACCAGGGTTTTTTTAAAAACCTTTTTTCAACTTTATAAAAAAAAAATACTGTATAAAGAAATGACTTTTTTACACACGTAGACGTTTAATCAGATTATTCCAGGAATTTGCAAATACAATCTAATTTTGCACTTTATATCAGATTTACTTGGAGTGAAAAGGCCATCAGTAACTGTCTCAATCAGATCAGTATTCAGAGATAGGACGTGTCCCCTGAATGTACCGAGAAGAGTTAGTCTTAGTACTTTAATTTGAACCTAAACTACTTCTCAGGTTCTTTGTGAAGAACTTGCCCGTAGTGGATACCCATTATCCCAAAAAAATCCTGTCTGTGTCTTTCTCTGACTTGCACCGACCGATCCTCAGTGTGAATACTATGCTAATCGTCTTCAGGTGACGTCCATCCCCAGGCGTACTGTTAAAAACCTCCCTCAGCTCAATTCGCACAACATTCCTGCTCATGACCGCTTTCGCCAAACTCTTTGCCATTCGCTTTCCTTTTTTTTTCTCTTCACTGCTTTATAGGTGTCATTAATGCAGCTGTGTTTTCTGTCTAAGCCACAGTGGTGACCTGACATAAATGGCAGCACGCTAACTGTCCCTCGTGTTTTGCTTGCCTCATGTTTTTTGTGCTGCCTGATGTTAAGTATTTAGCAGGTTCCGTCTAATGTCTGGTGTGGGTAGCCAAGTTCACGACCTTTAACATTTTATTCCACAAAGCAAAAGTAGGCTTTTATCAGCTTATACGTGTTCTCACTCATCATCGGTCCAACATTTGTGCACCACTTGTACCTCTTTTCCACCAAAACAGTTCAGGTGCCTGAAGCCTCAGTTAAACAGGCCTAGAGACCGGTTGGTGACACCCTGACAACCACAGGTTGCTAGGGAAAAATCTTTACTCCCCAGCTGTTTGGCAGGTGGTTTGTGGAGGTGTAATTCGCTGTATTGAGGTATGTGTTACTGCACCGAAAACCTTGCAATTACTTTGATTGCTACCAGATTGTTGCAGTCGCATGTAATTGCATGGAAGACTTGAACTACTCACCAAAAAGTTAGTGAAACTGTGACGAGTGCAACACAAACCAGCAACGCAGACCTTTGCCTTCAAAGTAAAAGTTGCACCTTTTGAAACATGGTGGTTGCAGTGGTAAGGTGCAGCTTTTAATTTCAAGGCAAGCGTTCCGTCTATGTCTGTGTCTTCCATGTAAACTATGAGCAAGTTTTTGGTGCAAATCTCCACCAATCACTCACCACCCATTTGGGGAATAAACACCTCCCCCCCCCCCCCAGCAATTGGTGGTTGCCAGCAGTTTTCCAGCCCTCCTCTAGTCCTGTGTGAGCCTTATCCTAAGATAGCAAGATTCCTGATCCCAAACCACTGGGAGAGGCTACCACAAGAAATTCCTAGTAAATATGTCTCCTGTTATTTCCTTCTCATGGAAATGATCCCACCTTCTGCCGTGTAATTCTACCTACTGAGTTGGTGGTTCAATGGAAACCAGGTCCAAGACTGCCTGTAGTTTTTATAACTCCAACTCATTCCTAATGGAGGTGTTCAAAACTTTAAAAAAAAAACTACCACGCTATCAGCTGTCAGGTATTGTAAGCGCTGCCTTATTGGGTCTGAGGTTGGACATGGTTCATAGGCTTGTAATTTACTCACCACTCTGTTGTTTTGGGGGCGTTGATGCTTTCTCTGGAGAATTCAGTTAAAATAAAGACCAAGGTTCCACTTTCTCCCTTGTACAAATTAATATAAATAAATAT